GAAATAGTCTTATTACGCTAATAGTTTACATTGGATAATGGGATAAGCTATTGTGCGATATTTGTTGCTTTTTTAAACGTTGAAACAACACTAAAACGAACGACAACAAGAATATATATTACCTATTTTATAATGTCGTCCACAATGGTCAATGGGTGGAGCCTAAGAACAGCAACAGGCTGTTTTGCCATTTACTTAGAAGGGGAATAGAGACAGAACCATCTGTTGCCTTAGAAAGAAAGAGACAACCATATGTTTTGGTATTCGCATAATGGTGGTTAATTGGTGAAAGAAAAAAATGTTCGTTTCATTTCCATTGCGTTCCGGGGTACTGCTATTTCCAATTGGAATAAATCATGGAATAATCTCGGTCTCACCTCTGCTGTAGTCAAAGCACCCGGAGAGTTTTTTTGCGGGTACTCAGATTCATGCTAGAAAAAGCGCACCCCAATATTATCAATGGTTCCAATGGCCGTTATGTTATTGTTGTGTACCTCTATCGGAATGCATTACAGCACAATGGGGTAAATTTTTGATATTTTTGAATATGGCAAAGCAAACTTGCACAATTAGTGAAAATAATAGAGTCATATGGCTCTTTAAGAGAAAAAGAAAACTGTCTATTAGTTACAAAACGATATTTTGTGAATAACTCCGGGGCAGCGGAGTCGTAACATTTTAATCCGACTACGACTCCAAAGACGTATTTATATCGACTGCGGAGTCAACAAATAAAACTTTTAGTTTTACATCCTCCCTCATCGATTCGATAGTATGAATTTTAAGCTTTTCTTCGGACTCAAATCTCGAATCAGGAAAATTTCTACGATATATTCCTGGATAGGATAGTCAAAATATATTCTGTACAAAATTCATGTGAAAGAATTGCTATCAAGTGAATATAGGTGGAAGGTCCTACGTGCTTAGGAGGCTTATGGAAGTTTTATAAATACACGAGGAAAAGGGAAGCGCTTTATAGAATACCCGTATGTGGTTGTATCGAATTTTCAGTCGTAGACCTGTTGTGGTAAAAATACAAATAATAAGTAAAAAAGCAATAAAGTTCGGCCGAGCGAACATTTAATATCCTCCACTATTTAGAAAGCACCTTGTTAAAAATAATCAATTAGTGTCTAGACCAGTTTGCTAACAGAAGGTATGGTTCCGAAATTAAAATACCAAACTGCAGACCATTGTATTTAGGTTAGGTTACAGGATGCGCAGCTACATTACAGTCAGCAGCAGCTTCAATGGGAGACCATTGGTCCATTGTGTTCATTCTTGGAGGAACTAGTCTTGATAGGAAAAATATAAATTGTGTAAGCAAGAAGTGATAGAGATATATGGTTATATGAAGGTTTGTCATGATATGCTTTAACCAACCTCTGGATGATTGCTTGACGGTTTGGGATATCTGTATAGTAGATGTTCAATCGTCTCTATCTCCAGCGGACCTTCCAATGAAAGAATGGATTAGTTAGATGCTTTGAAACCGGTTTACAGATGTCACCTTCTTGGAAAAGTGCATTTTTGAATCGGCTGATATAAAAGCTTATAGATGTTTTGACAATCTCTCGATCGACTGGGAGACATCTCGAGCTAAATGGTCAGCCATTTCATTCATTCCCCACTATATTGCAGTGTCCAGGAACCCAACAAAATTTAATGAATTCAAGTATTTAAATAAAGGTTTCTTGCAATCAAAAATTGCTGTAAGGGCCGCCTGACTATTGACATGTATAGGTAAAGTTGAAAAGAGGGGCGACACAATCGTCACATGTCCTGGTAGCCATACACTTAAGCCAGTATAGGTCTGTTGTGCGCTTTAGACTAAAAAGGTTGTTGAAAGAAAGCCTATTATATTTTAAATTTAGTTGCCGTAACAAATTTTCTTAACTATTTAATTTAATTTACCATGATCCGATTAAGGTCAGGTATGGAGTCGTTCCCTAAATATTGGAATCTAATATTTGAAAATGCTGGGCATTGGCAGAGAAAATTTCCAATGTTTCGTCATCTTCCCCGCATGCCCTGCATATGCTTTGTGCAAATACATCCAATTTTATACAGATGTTCCTGTAGGCTAAGATGCCCCGTCAGGATGCCTATTGCCCCACTAATCTCTTCTTGCTTATTGATAAAAGATTCACTGGATTGTCTAAGTTTACTGTTGCTAATTGAGCCATCTGTATTACAACAGTTTCCAGTCGGCATTTGGGATAGGGATTCGTCTGTCCACGGGTCTCTGGTATGAATTAATATTTCACATGAGGTAGCTAAATTGTTTCAAGTATCCGGTCCTTTACTTATCCACTCGTCCGTTGTTCTTAGTCTTATGGCCGCGACGGCCGCCTATCTATTTGATGTACATATAGAATTTTTTAAAAATCCCTAGTTGGTGCTGTCCTCGTCGCGCCGCAAATCGACATATATAGTCACTAGTTCTGTTATGATATAACAAAGTTCTGGTTCCTACTCGGCTGCCTTCTTGATTGCGAGAATATCCGCCTGAAAAACACTGTAGATGTCATTAAGCTTATATGAGAGTTTACTGATTAGATTATGACAGAATACGACGAAAGGAAATGGACCTACATAGAGGAGGAATGGAATCGCCAGAGGAAATTCTGGCTCTTAGAAGGCAAAATACCAAAACGATTCGTTTGGAAAATGGTCCTACAATCATCAAAAAAATTAATATCGGGATATAGCTTAATATGGGGGCTATGCGAATACGAGGACCATGGACTATTTTTTATCCCATAAAAAAAACTCAGACATAAATTCAATTCCTGCATATGAGTAGTGATCCGTTTGAAAGACAGACTGAGGTGTTTAAATCGTCTTACAATTTTACGCTAATCAAAATTATATCTGTATATTTTGTTGCGTCTTAAGTTATCATTTTGATGATTTATAAAACGAAGTTAAATTATAACCTCCCCCATGTGCAAACTTTAATTTATAACTTTCAATTCGGTTGCTCGGCAAATTCTCAACACCTATGCCAAAACCTATAGAACTAAATATTTTTCGATACAAACTTATTCTCATGGCGAAAAGCATCCTTAACATTGCAATGGTCAGAGACTATTCCAAATCCTTGATCTTCTCTGGACATATTTTCCAGGACGTGATCAAACCAAAAAGAATTGAACATTTCAGATCTAAAGAACTTCGTCTGCCAAATATGATCAGGGCGTAGAAGTAACAGGGACATTGTGGAGCGTACTTTTATCCGAGATCCCAAATTGAATTGGCAGTTGAGATGAGATAGTTTACCAATATTGAAAATTGGCTGTAGAGAGCGCTCCTTAAAAATTGAGATTACTAAAGCAAAATGTTCTTAAACGTCTTTTTTGTATAAGAAAATTCATTGTCTCGCTAGTGCTTGAGAACCCTCGCTAACAAATTTCAATAGAACAAATCATCTGTTTTCAACGAAAATTTTCACAAAGATAGCTGCCAACAACTTCGAAGCTTAAATAATTTCACATTTATTTATACAAATTCATATACATTTAATTTGAAGTATAAAACAATGCCTACTACTGGGACATGCCGAACTTAGGAGCAATTACAAGCTACCCCAATGTGCAGGGTCTTCCAATATTTTGATTTAATTTCATAGTGTGCTGTAAAAGATGAAAACGAGCAACTCAGGAAGATAGGTTATCCCTTTCCCTCGCACGATGTTTTGTGATAGCGGTATGTTTGGGGTGTGGAGTAGAGTATGGGTGCGATTGAAGAGAGTGGACGTGTGTGTGCTGGATCTATGGGCTGTGTTTGGTTAAAACATATAAATCCGGTTTTTGGTGGTTGTTATCGCACCACAATTATCTGCGATTGAATTTCTCCGTTCCATGGAAATGAAACATGGACGTCGCAATGCGTCGCGCACACCGCACCGATAAGCACAAGAACAACTGTGGATATGTGCCGTTAGTCGCAGCTAAGTCGTTGACGGACCAACAAAGCAACGTTAGCATTTGCAAAACAAAAGCGGCACGTTACAAAAATAAAAAAAAAACAAGCAAAATTCCTACATGCAAACTTTAATTCGCAATAACAAAAAAAAAAAAGACAAATCCTCGACGAACACAAGCAAAAAAGGAAATTCGAAGAGAACTGATTTCTCGTACGAAACATAAATTTGCTGTTACTCGTGCGCTTTAATCGTGTGGTTTCGCGTGTTACGCTTTCTCATTTCAACTTACGTTGGCGCGTGAGAGAGAGAGAGCAAATATTCCATATTGACCCTATGAACTTTGTACAGAGTGTGAGTGAAGCACTTTCGTTGTGTTAGTTAACTTGATTTCAGTTCCATCCTAACCAATCTAGTAGAGAAATCGCAACAATTGGAATATACGGATTGGCAGCATTTTGGGTGGGTTCATACACACACACCCGCAACACACCCCACTCAACCCATACCACCACACAAACATCGGTCTCGTTCTACTCTCTTTTTATTGTATTTATTGCAGAGGACAACGCATTAAAGCAGATTCTCTGCTCTCACACAACGAATGGTTCTGATTCCTAACCGTTGTTCGAATCTGGAAACATTGCAGGCAGCAGCTACCCAAAACGTGGGCAGAGCCAAACGAAAGAGGGGTACAAATCGAGGCTGGACAATCGTCAGTCAAGTCAAGTGTTTCAGTCTCAGTCGAGAAATCAGATTCATCCAGAGTTCATTGTGTGTGGCACAGAGTTGCAGCAGCAACAGAAGCAGATGGTGGCCACTAGAACAGTGATTAATTTTACAGTTAGTCCGTAGAAAGATGCCAAAGCAACAATAACCAAAACTGGAAAAGCTCTCCTACTCTTAAAGAGTCAAGTTGGCATTCACACAAAAACAAAAAAATATATATATCTGAATTATAATTTTCAAAGTTCCGACGCGAGTGATAAATCTGGCGAAGAAACACAAGTGCAAAAAAAAAATAAAAACAAACAAAAAGTGATGTTGTCGTAAACCTATATAAATTAAGTTAAAAAAAATAAAGACTGTTTACAAAAAAAATATTAATAATATAAAACAATTAATCCACATTCCCGTAAAAAATTATTTATAACCCTTTACGCCGTACAAAAGACAACATGGATATTAAACCCATAGTTTTAACTTCAAACTCTCAAGCAACAGCGAACAGTAATACTCACACTTCCACGCAACCAAATACAACAGTTTCCTCGAACGTCTCTTCCTCAAACACCACTTCCATTGCATCGACAGCTTCCTCCTATACAAATAGTGCACCCACAACGGCTGCAGCCACCTCGCATCTACCGCTCGACTATAGTCTGGGTAATTTCAAACCTGCCATCGCATCAGATTTCCCTGGACCCTTTGTTAGTAGTGCATCAGCGGCGGCGGCGGTAACACAACCTTCATCGTTACAAATTCGTGATATTAGCGTTTTAACTACAATGGCGGCGACAATACCTTCACCAACACAGCTACTACAGCATCGAGTACACCATCAGATGCATCATCAACAGCAGCCGCACCAGGCGCAACAAAGTCCAACATTAGCGGCGGAAGCTCACAGCCATCAAACAAGTGCCCACGCACAGCAACAAACCGCACAGGATTATCAACCTGTGTCCGCATTTAAAGCGGTGCTGCCAAAAAAGAAAACTACCGACGGTAAGTTCAAAACTGGAATTAGCTTTGTGTGTGTGTGTTAGTATGCGGATGTCGCGTTTAATTGAAGAAATTTAATACAAAATTAAAATTTAATTGTAATAAAATTAAAAGCCTTGGAGTGAAAATAACATCCTATTGGATTGTTGCATTCTTCTGAAATATGATTAAGTGGTATTGGAAAAAAAATATTGGAAATATTCTAAAAAGTATTGCTACAGTTGTTGTGATTTTCAATTTAAGGAAGAAATATTAGAACAATTTGTCTGTGGTATATAAAATAACCAGATAAAAATGTTGATTATTTTGAATATAAGTGTTTTAATTCATTTATTAACTTTTTAAAATCAAATTGTTAACTATATTGAGTTGAAAGTACAATTTGGAGAACGAAGGAAATGTAAGGTTGATAAATTGAAAAAAAGGTGTTAGCATCTATCCCGTATATTCATACTAAAAATTCCTGTGATGCATACATTAATACTTTGTTCCAAACACGTTTTTGCTGACTAGAATGTCGGTGATTTGGCCGGACTGAAGTAGAAAAATACCGATGGACATAAAATGCGATATTTTAGTTCGTGGAAAATGTCGCGAAATGTTCAAAATATCGAAATGCTCGGGCATACATCAAACCATAGTCCCATACGGAAATTCTTTGCTAATCCAAGTTACATCAATATCCATAGGAAAGTGGAATCAAAACCCGCTGTATAAGGGTTGTGCCAAGACGTTGAATAATAAGAAAGATTTTTGAAACATATTAAATATATATTCAGGCCTAATTTCATATCAGAAGACACATGTGGTCAACGTTTCGAAACTTTATCCCAATAAGTTCAACGGACATGACTAGACTGCCTTAGGATTTTATTTCAATGTGTTGAACATAATTATATCGACGATAAGGTTGAGAATCAAAGAGATTTTGGTGCATAATTGCATAAGAAACATCCATTAAGGACCTTATATAAAACTGTGTAGAAATACATATATAGGGTCAGAATTAGTTAGGTTTGAGATTCAAACATCGCTGTTCTATATACGCTGCTTCATCGTCAACGAAACGCGTCGGATAATAGTGGGAATAAATGGTTCATTTCTGGACATATTCAACTTTAACAGAACATGTTTTAAACGTACCTCGCTGATAAGTATCACTTTACTAAATCGCCAAAGCTGAGATAACTTAATATCTGGTAATATTTTGTACAGTTTTTAATGAAAAAATAGATATGATGCGATGAGCACCCTTGGCGATTTTATTGTGATAACGCGGAATTTAAATGTTGTTGGAACACGACTTTCAAAACGCATTGAGTTATTTCGCATGTAGATAGTTAAGAGCGCATTTCAAGCAATAGTCTATTGTTAGCAAATTTAATTTTTTTAATAACTTAGTTCACACAGAAGTTCTCACACTTTTAACATTTCTTAAATGGATTTTTCAAAAATATTTTATTTTGTTCACATTAAACAGGCCTACCTAATACCAAACGTTCGCCTTGGACATATTTCACCACAAAAGTTGAAAACACGAAATTATATGAATGTTACCGAATTATGTCGAACGTATAATTTATCAAAATTTTGACATATTCTACTTTGATAGAACATATTTGTGTTAAAAAAACAGTAATAAGAACTTATATGTGTTCAAATGAAAAAACACATTTTGATTTTTTTAAAGTATTCACAATTCTATTGTTCATATTTGAGTACTTCCGACACACAAAACATGTTGCCTTAGTATATATAAAGAGCATTATTGAATAGAACATTGGGTAATAGGTAGGTCTAATTATAAAGCATAAAAATTTAGAATTTTTAATAAAAATTAACCAAATATTAATCTTTTAATCAAATTTTAAAAACATTGATAGTCAAGGTAAAATCTTACGTGTCCAACAAGGATTCTAAGTCACTGTGCGACAATTAATTATTTTTTATTTTTCTCCGAAATACTCAGACGAAAAAATCACACTTCCATTTACGCTGAATATTTTTACATTTTGTTAAAAAATTATATTGTTTAATTAAATTCTTCGAAGCATAAACCTCAATGTCCCACCTATAACCCGGATTCATTTCCACATTAAAAATCAATCAAATATTCCAATTATTTATTTTGATTTCTAAAACACAACACATATTTTTCATAATTTTTTTTAACTACGCAATTCCCATTAATTGTAACTTTTTTAGAATATTAATTAAAATAAAACAAGTCTCCATTATTGTTGGCTAATATTGTCTCTGACACCAAAATACACAATGGGATAACCATAACCTAAACAAAACAAACCAACAAAATTGAAAAACACAAAATAATCAAATATGACAAGCAGTAGATGGAAGCAACAGCCGTCATATTTCAACACCTGATGATGAATTTCATACATTTATTAAACACAAACAGGCCGCACAATTGTTCGTACCAAACTCCTCTGCTATCTAAAAGCAAGTGACATTTTTCATCTATAACATGGAGGGTAGGCGAGATGAGTCTTTGGACCGGTGATACATTTATGCATTCACGTATAAAAATACCTCAACTCAAATAGAGCACACTCATACAAATGAAAAACCAATGTCAGTTAATTAAAAAAAGATACAGAGGGGGAAATGCGAACATTATATCACTGGCTTGCGCCTCATGTCACTTTTATGTCAAGTACTCTCATCCAGGCGGTACATTCCGCTGTGTTCGTTTATATTTTCACTTGAACCCCGAATACATTAAAGGTATATGAAATACCGCGAAAGATAATGAAAAAAAAAAAATACATCCATGGATGGAAAGGAGACAGGGGCAAAAAATGTTGCAAAATTAATTTGAATAATGCTTGTGATTTTTTCTTCACAGAATTGATATTGTAAAAATTTCTTGATATTAAAAAATTCAGGGAAAACTGTGGTAACGGTGCTCTTAAAATTCACATTTTTGGGCAAATTCTGAAACTTTTTAATGTACATTGTACAAATATAAAATTTAGAAGTATACTAAAATAGATAGGATTTTATCCCTGTGGAAATAAGTTGATTTCAAAACAATTATTGAAAATCCCCTATTTGACATTATGCATATTTGGAAACTTATAAGAATTCAATGTGTGTGTGTATATACATCCTGTAACAATAAGATTGATAATTAAATTTCATAATAATCAAAAATCATTATTAAAAAAATATTTTTTTAAATATTTTCAAAGCCCACTGTGTTTTTAATTTTCCATCACATGCCTCTAAAATACATACAAATGTGCATACAGATGTATATAACCAAAAAAAAAAAAAAAGAACAACGCGAAAAAGAATCCAACCAAAGTGCTAACGATTGCGAGCAGCCAGGAAAAATATTATTCATTTATTCCGTTTGTGTAAAATGAACACAAATCTCCCATGTGGACATAAAAAGGACATTCGAATGGATTTTGTCGGGATTGCAAAAATCCAACGAAATGTGTATATACATATGTGTGTATGTAAATAAATGTAGATATAAAGCATGTGTCTACATACTGTGTGTGTGAATATATATATACAAATATGAAAAAAAGATTTTCCGACATTCTCGTCCCTTTGGAATATGCATGTGAATGTGTTGGAATAAACTTGGCTCCACATAAAACTTGGAACAAAAACCAAAACAGGCAATAAGAAAAAATATTTTCGGAACCACATACAAACATATGTACATTTGCACTTTTGCTATATAAAAATATATGTATGTAAATATTTATAGATAGATTCATGTGTGTGATTTCGTACGTTTTTTTATTGTCCAGACAATCATGTTTAACGGACACGATGAAAACTCCGGAACAAGGACAAGGAAAATAAAAAAAACCGTATCTTGTGTATATATCACAGCTGTGCTAAAAACCAGATACGAAATTTGTTGCTTGCAAAATATTCAATTTCATGTTGAACATTTCACAAGAGTTTTTTATTTTGAATCAAGGCGTCAGCATGATGTTCTGTTAGTGACTCCAACAAAACACCATACATATGTGTGGTGTCCAGTCTTAGTATTTTCAGATTCACACATACTTTTTACATGTGTATGCAGAAAATTTTCCATATGTGATTTCTTCTTGCCCCCGCATTAAGCTTCACGCTAAATGTAAACAAGGATTTATTTTTCGACACTTTTTTTTTTTGGTGTTGAAACTTTTCTTTCTTTCATTGTTCCTTCTTTACTTTTCGTATAACTTCTGTTGTGATATTTGATACTGACATATGAATACCTCCTGTAAGCGGGAAGAAATCTTTTTGGCTTAACACTGAAATGTGATTACTTTTGTAATAATTTTCCTCTTTGCCAGAGAGTTTAGTTTATTGGGTGGGTTGGTGAAATTTGATGAGTCCTTTTGTGTGCATACATTTGGTGATAGCTGCGAAAACAAACGCTTATTTGAGAAGACAGATTTTGTGCAAGTGTCACTTTGTGGAAACACAATAAATATTGACAAGATAACACGGTGACATTCTGAGGTAGAATGTAATTATTTTTGAAATGTACAATGAAAACAATTATGGCTAGGAGGCCCTTTACTAAAGACATTTTTCTTCATAGTTCCCCATTGTCAATACAATTAAATTGATAACAATTTCGCTCATTTTCTCAATAAAGCCATAATCTTACTACTCAAACAAAAAAAAAAAAAAAAAAAAAAAACGACAGTTGTCCCAATTTTGAGTTCTTTCCTTTTTAAATATTTTATTTTAGGCATTTCACACTTGGCTTACTGTACATAAACATCTTCCTCTTATCGCAACTTACACCAGAGCCTATTGGTCTGGTATGGTTGTAATGTTAAATCATATTTCGTTTTCGAGTAGTAGAGAGGTGCGAAAAAAAGTGAGACAGTTTCTATGGCATTGATTTATGAGCACTAAAACAGGGTTGTGAGGTGTTGGCATTAACCCTTCCATATTGTATCCTGGAATCCCTTTTTATCAGAGAATTTTCGATGTTTCTAATCTAGTTTTATGACAAA